AAGGCGATCGCCGACCTGTTAGGCATGATTCACTCGGTTTGATTTTTGCTTGCAATTTTCAGTTTTAACGTCGTGTACACCGAAGCTTTCGATATCTCTTATTTTGCTGCGCGAGTGACGTGACAACTAAGAATAGCAAGCAGATCTCACCATGTGGATCAGGCTCTAATCTACTGCGCTCACGCGGAAACGAACGCCGTGCGCCAAATTCACAAGTTTCGCGCTGTCACAAGCCTTGTCCATTTCGTTCAGGCCACTGAAATAGTCAGACATTACCAGGAAGACTCGGGATCAACGTTCCCGACGCGAAACAGAGCATAGGAGCTCACACCACCGCCAACAGCACCGCATCTCAATGGTCTGATGATAGGGGACGGCGCCCTCCTTGCCCATAGGGAGTTTTCGAAGACCGAGTTACCCCCTCCGCTAAGCCCTCCGCAACGAAAAAACCGCTACTGCGCCGGCACGCCAATGGCATTCACTGTAGAGTTCCGGGTAACGTAGCAGGCTGCAGAGAGCGTTGCGGGACGGCGAAAACGATCTACGAAAACTCCCTCATGTCCCTTAGCGGATGCGCGGCGCGGCTTGCCACCGCAAGGGGTGCACCAGTTTGTTTGTAAACATTAATTGGTGTATACTTTGCAGCGCTGTAACTGTGAAGGAAACAAAATATTGCAACATTTGGTAATGATTAAACACACGATTATGGTGGCGAACTATAACTATAAATTTCAGGAAAATCCAAGAAGGCCTTCTTTTTTTTTTTGTAATTGCCCTTCAAATTTCTTAACTTCGTGATTTAAGACAAATTTGGAGCGCCATAAAAAAATTTTAAATGAAGCAATTATGTATATATATAATTACAAATAACTTGTTAATACTAATGTATGTCATAAAGTTTAATGGTGTACCTATTCAAGTTCTTTTAGATAACGGCCCAGAAACCTAGTGACAAGACGTCAAAAGAGCCAAGTTAGAGCATTTTGACGCGAGATTCAAAACCTACAAAATGCTGTAAATATTTACCTTAATAGTTTCTACATTTTGTCATAAGTGCAAATTATTTTAGATTCTTGATCTTTTTATTTTGCGCAATAGGTGTCACCAAGCATGACACAAACGAAAACTTCGAGAATCACAGTTGTCGTTCTGGCGCACTCAAAAAGTTTTTCTATTCAAATAATATTTTTCCCAATTTTTTTATTCCGTTTTCTACACATGTTTAGGAGTAGCATGTAAAACCATAAAAAAAAAGTGTCCGGACTCGCGTGCATAAGCTTATCTCAACAGAGCCTGGAAAGCCTATGCAGTTAAAACACCTTAAGGCCCTGTCACACTGAGGCAACACGACCGCAACAGCAACACAACTCGCTGTCCAACAGTCAGGCAGCTTGTTGCTCGCTCCCCGTGTCGTCCGACAAACCTGTCACATCGCGCAAACAGCAGCACAACATGGACGAAAACTAAAATGCTGCCTCGGCATGATAGCTTTCAGCAACAAAAACAGCAGCAACTTGTTTTGGACAATGTGTGTTGCCCTGATCGTTGGCTGAGCGAATTTCGGGCCGGCAACACGACAACACAAATAGCTTCGACGGCTGAGCTAGTTCCCTATCAATAACATCTTACTCAAATCAAAATCAAATCAAATTGGACGTTTTAGTGATTTATACAGCGTAAGGTTGGTCTGCCAGTAGCGGCGACACTCGTTTACACTGTAGATGAGCAATTTAGCCAGTGCAGTACAACCGCTATCCAGGGGTCTTTAACGTGCACCACGCAGTAGTGATGCACGACCGCACGCCGGTACGATGCTCATCCAGATCGAAACGGGCAGGGGTGGGTCTCAAACCCAGGATCCCTGGGTTCTGCAGCGCGAGCTTTCGCTCCACGCGCGTCGAGCTGGGTGTGCGCTTCAGCCCACTCGGCCACCGATTCCCCCATCTTACTCAAATAACGGCTTGGAAAACGTTATTTAACAATAATTAAGGCTTGCGTCCAGCTAAACTAATTTCGTGAATATTTTCACTGCATAATTACAGAAAACGATTGTCAAAATAGTCAGAGCTACGGTTGTAAACGCTGAGGCTGGTGTTGAAATTAGAACCGCCGAGAGACCAGCTCACACTACTGCTACTGAAATAAAATGGCATGCCTAGTCACCCGCTGTTAAAGTATAAAAATAAATAGTCCAGGAAAGCGAAGATTAAAAAATCGAAGCAATCAAACTACCACTATGATCATGATTGTTGTTGCTTGGAACTTGGAAACAGCCGCTCTCAGAAACCTGATTTGTTTAAAAAATACCCACACTCTCAAGAAAAAAGGATGTCAAAAGGTGTATTCTTACACCCTTTGTCCCGTATAATACACCCCCAAACTCCAATTCGACGTACAGCGCCCTACAGTCGAACAGAAGGCACCAAAGTTTACGAGGGGCTTGATAGCCGTGTGGTACAACTTGTTAAAATAGCTAACGTACGTTTTACTGTCAACAAGAAAAATAATCAGGGTTTTCTTGGTCCCACTGTAAAAACTCGGTGTTTTCTTTATGTTGTCTTTGATACGTATTTTAGATATTTACAATGTTGTACCACACGGCTATCAAACCCCTCGTAAAATGTCAGGCCGTCTGTTCGACTCTAGGGCGCTGTACGTCGAATTGAAATTTTGGGGTGTATTATATGGGACAAAGGGTGCAACGATACACCTTTTGACACCCTTTTTTCTTGAGAGTGCAGGACGTTTTGAGGAATGAAGTGATCCCATAGCAGGCGGTAGGTAAAAGCGATTTAAAGTTTTATTCTATCGATTGCTACAAAGGCCGATCGTGTCGGTGTCGAAGTTTTGAAACGCTGTCAGTTCAGCTCAAGACCACGCTACAAAAGACGCTTTAGCGTGCTGCCGGTGCTCACTCAATTTTACAGTAAAAATGCGAACTGCATGAAAGAAAGAACCGGGCCAAAACACTTCATATCGGGTGGCGTAAACCCCATACACATATCAGCGATCTCACTTTCCTTGGTTAGGGCTGTCTGCTTTATAAGGGAATGAAGAAGATTTGCAGAAAATAAAGGGTGGAAAATACTCCCCGTGTCAAGTTTTCTAGTCATAGTCACTGGTTGATGTTGTCCCGTGGTCATTTTCGGCTCTTCGAACGCACTAGAACTTTGTAGTCACATTTTCATCGACGCCGCGCCGCACATAAACGAAGGTAAACAATCAAGATGGCGGAGTGTTTCCCGTGTTGTCCCCGCCGTCAGCCCTGTGTGACAGGGTTGTTGGAAAACAAATCGGTCAACCCGGTTGCCGGGCGGCAGGAACATGTTGCCCGACTGTTGTTGCCACGATGTGACAGGGTCGCCGGCAACACGGTTTCCTCGTGTTGCCGGATAGAGCTGTCCAACTATTGCTTCACTGTGACAGGGCCTTTAGGAATATAGCCTGTTTTCCCTGCTCGCTTCACCGAATTTGAGTGCAAACAAGTAAGGCTGAGCCTACTTCATTCGACGACATCGCTGTCGCACTGACGTTGGAACAATACCTTAGCAGTGCGGCATCTAAACATGTCGAAAGTTCCGGGCGAGGAAACTTCCGAGACTCTTATTTACAGTGCCTAATTTATTCGGAAAGTTAAAGACAATTATGGGAATATGCAGGTTTCCCGTTCCCAAATAAAGTGACAAACTATAAGTTGCCGAAATGTTCAAGTATCTCGGATCCTTTAGCTCTAAGACAGTAACAACGGCATTTACACTTTTTTTTTGAAAACGGTGCACAATAGACACTCGTGGTACAAGCCGCACCAAGCATTTGTTAGCGCTGCAGATTTAGATGTTTTTATTTATTTATTTTTTTGTGTTGGGGTCTCGCCTAAAAATTGAGGATGCCTTGAGGTTCATTCGTTTATTTTGAACAGAATGTATACTATAATTTCTTTTTCTAAGACACGTTTTCTGTATTAAGTTACAGTTATATGAATATCTGTGCCCGAAGGAGCTACTCAAATGCCTTTGCTCACAAACACGAGCGCTGTTTGTTTTCTCGTTTATAGCATATATTATCAATTTTGGCGGTTTTCTAGTTCGCAAAGATTTTGAAACTCAATTTAGGGTTCAAACATATGATCTTTTCAGGCGATAAATCCTATAGTAAATATATAGGAGTGTTTATTTTCATTTTTTTTTTCAAAGACCTACATGACCCAATAAAACACTAGAACTTCATGGGAATTACATGGAAGTAATTCTTATATTTAGTTGTATGTGCTAGAATGAATATACACTGGAAAAACTAAGTTCCGTCATATCATTCGTTATGTTGAGCTAGCAGCTAACCAAACAACACAAGTGAACACTGAAAGGTAAATTATTGAACGCTTGCGCGCGGGATTCGTCGACACGATAAACTCAATATATAATATGCAATGACCACTTGCAATAAGAACCACGAACACTGATTAGTGAGCGCTCGTGCAAACCTAAACAAATAATTCAAACGAATAAAGATGCAAACAGAGAGAAGCAATTTCGGTTAGAAACTACGCTCAGTTTAGAAACAGAAAATCAGATTGGTAATTTTTTATGTTCCAACATAAACCTAGCTTCTAACTGAAATAAAGTGGCTGTCTGTCCTCGTCCTTTATGTTTTTATTTGTTAAATCAAATGAAGTAGCAACAAAAGAGTGCCAATAATATAGTTTTGTTTCTTACCTTGGGGCAACCACACGTCACTGTGGGGTTCCCCCACTCCATTTTGGAGTCATTCCACGGCATGTTGACTCGGAACTGACTGCGGCCGAAAAGCAAGCAGGCTATATAAGCTCACTATTCATCGGATGTGTTAAATGTCACAGGGTACACTAAACTCTGGATGTTCATGGTCTGAATTTTCCAGGCTGGCTCAGAGCACTAACTTTATTTTAGCCAGAATATACTTCGCTCAGCGGCAATCCGGAAGCCGATGACTGATACCTCAATTAAATTCTATAACTCTCGCAGGTATCACTTGGCCTTCAGCTCAGGTGAGGACAAAGACTACATTCGAATCATCGCCCGTGCCCTCGCTCTCGTAAAGCCAGATTCTGATGTGCGTAAACACGCCGAAAATGTCTACTCTCTTGAGCGGAAACTCGAGTCAGCCTTACTTGGTCTCGTTCGCGGAAACAAACTCTCCGAGCCCCATCAAATTCTGAAAGCAAATACGAATTTCTCGAGCACGTGGAACTGGGAAGAGTATTTCAAGATTTTGATGCAAGACAACAAACGCCATCACTTCTCGCAGGTACTTCCCAAACCCCTTGATCTGAGCCACCGAATATCTGCTGTCATAAACACCACAGAGGTCAAGACTGTAGTTGACTATCTCCGGTATAGGTTCCTCGTCTTTGTAGCTCCATTTTTATCCGAGGACTTCAGTTTCCTTCTACCCCTTGGGTACAGTTCACATCAAGATAACGTGCCAGAAAGACATCAGGCCTGTGCCCGCTCAGTCGAAGGCGTCTATCGGTACGGAATGAGATTCTTGGTCTCCGAGGCCAACCAGCACAGCCTTCAGCCAGATCTCTGGAAAGAGGAGCAGAAGGCCTTCAAAGAGCTGCTCAAACTCTGCAAACATGTTCTCAAGGACCGGATTAGCAACAGAACTTTGATGATGTCACCAGAAATGGAGAGCATCTTCTTGAAACTGGACGCCATGCAAGTGTCCACTGAGTATGTCCTTGAGTCCGAGCTGTCCAGCATCATCCACTATTACTCCCGGATGGCCGTTCCGCTGAAGAGCAGTTCACCCCTACAGACGTACTTGACGCTGCAGCAGTCCAGTAGCGAACTGTACTGGTCAACCGCGGATCAGTCCCTTGACCACGACGTCCGTTTCTTGGCATCAAGTCTTGTACCCGGCTACGAGTATCGGGAAAAGAAGAACACCCTGTACATCACTCCAGCGACGTTTGGGTTCTTGGGAAAAGGCGACATTGTGCCCATATTCGTCATTCCGGCGGTGCTCCAGTACATTATTCAGGGCATTTTGTCCCCCATCTTCGCCGCTACTCCACTGAGCGGGTTTCGTAGGCCCCGCAATACAACCAAGATACTCACAGAGTCGAGGCTTTGCCTGTTCGAACAGTACTACGCCGGCATGACCGACATCTTCAAAGAAGACGTGGCGCTCGATTCGGACCTCACAAACTTCGTCGAGTTCAACACAATGGTGTCTCTTCTCTACGATGTCTTCCAGGTATACAAGAACCTAACCTCGGCCCTCACCACGGATGTGAGTGGTGTTGAAGACAACGCAACCGGTGTGGCTCTGGACCAGCTTTTCCTTACCACTTGGGCGGCGACCCATTGCGAACCCACCACTGACAACCGCGAACGACGTCTCATCCGCTTCATGGAAGTTCCACCCCGGCTCAAGGTAGACATTTCCCTGCAGAATTTTGCTAAATTTGCGCAAGTGTTCTCCTGTCCAGTGGCCAGCCCCATGAGCCCGTCTATACGATGCGCGATGGTGTGACCAAATGTTTCCTTGGTACCAGGGAATGCGGTGTTTTCTATGCACATTAATCACAACGTGTTTTGTCTTCCATAAAAATTGTACCGTGGCTGTGGTCTTCTGTGTTCATTGTCATCTGCAGGATGTATCACCACAAAAGCTGCAAGTCCGAGCTCTTTGAACGGACCTCGGCAGCACGAACTTTCAGGCAGCAGGAGCTACTGCCAAAGCTATGAGCTCGGGTTTCTAGGCTTCCTTGCGTGACATCCTAAAGGGGCCATGTATCGATATTGCTGGCTTGAACGTATAGTTGTATAGATCGCAGTATTGACGTAGTATCTTGCTGATGACAGTCCATGGCGGCTCGTGGATTAGACACGCGCAATCCGTGCGCCGACTTGGTTTGGTTACATTCTATGCCTCGGCGAACATCCGGGTGGTGGCTCCTCTTCAATTGCTACAGCGACAAAAATAGCCGAACTCAAACGATGTCTTTAGCACGGCGGGCACCCTGCGTTTTTCCAACCTCAATGCATGACATATAATCGGCACCAAATCCCGTGGCTGCTGGTTCGGGCTTCGGGTTGCAGGGATGAGTACTCCGGTGTTGCTTATTCTCTTATTTGTTATGCGACTGCTATTGTTTGAGGTAAAACTAATGCGTGTTTCAAAATATATAGACGACACGAACTAACATGTGATAGTTACTATATCTGTATATAACTATTTTCACGGTCTCTTTATCCCAGAGCAGTAAGATTACGTGTTGATTTGTTACTTGTCTTTGACATTCTCTCCGAGTTCCTTGAGGTGAAAAAATTAAGTCTGTCTATATAACTTTTATGTATCATTTTACTCTGTAGATTTTCTTGGATATTTCAATAGAAACGTTAAGGCCATATTTGTTTATTTGCGTTTTATTTTAAGTTCCCGCTGTTAAAACTTTATAACATCCTAAGAAATCAATCATTTGCATTGGAACTTCGCTTTTTAAATATACCAAGTCTAAATTGCGTTTTAAAATTATTAAATTATTTTTCTCGGAAGTGCACACGGAAATTGACAACAATGAAACCCTTGTACATGTAAAATATCTCAGCAAATTTTCGGACCCTTGCAATATATATATATATAGTTTTAACCGCTTGTGTTACCATATATGTCAGTTTTTTCCTTCTTTCACCTGCATTCAGGCATGAGTATAAAACAAATAGAAGTATTTTATAAGGTTATAAGGCATCAGCGCATGACTATATACGACCTCCAAACCCGTAGTTTGGTCACTTAAGTTTGCAGTGAGAGTAATCGCATATAACAGACCTGCTGATTCAAAGCAGTGCCCAGTCACTGTAATGGGCAATGAGAAATCAACACCAAGGTGTCTTTGGTACAAGAATTTGATGGTGTCTGGCAGTTATGAAGTGAGGCGAACCTAATGAAAGGAAACAAAAAGTGAATGTGCGTTATTCATGCACTTAGAGTCACTAAATAGCTGGCTCCTAGAACCACAAAATATTTAAGCTTTAGTGTACCGAAAGTTCATTCCCTAATCTCTTTGTTATAAAGGCTCTTTTTTTTCTTTTTTTTTTTTTTGTAGTTTTGCAATTGGCTATAGTTACGGTTCGTAACTGCGACATCCTCAGATTTGGATTAGGTGTCAAAAAACTCAGGCGACATTGTTTTTGCTCTGCCGCGGAGTGTTTCAATAGATCTGGTAGAGCAGTTGAGCTTAGGCTTCAGGTCAAAGGCGTCAATAATTGTAAACAACAAAACGGCTGAAGCGTCGCTACTTCATAGTGTAGCTTTTATTTCGTTGTCCCAGCTGCATCCACGCAGAGGTGAAGAAAAGCGTCTATTTTTCTGAGGCCATCTAGATGTAGTTATTCTTCGATTCACTTTAAGCGTGAGCGTGGCGGAAGTTATACAAGAGCGAGCCGCGGGCTTCCAGCGTTCCTGCCAAGCGCGCCCGCTCGTGCGGAGCAAGCACTGTGCAGGCATAGCCTCCTCTATTAGCGGAGAGATGTTTTGGGTGACGCCCTCCCATGGCTCCCTTTCGTGACGTCATTACATTGCGAACAACAAGCTCGATGGTGTTTGCAATGAGCATTGTGGAGGCTTGAAATCGTTACCCTCTCCAAAGGACACTGCCAACACCATCAAAATTCAAGCTGTTACGTCATCTAATTTTCATCGATGAGAAATCCTTTCCTGACGTCATAGTTGGCATTCGGCCAATCATGGCCGGCCGACCACAGCGACGCTTTCTGTCGCGCCCGTCGCCAATACTCACAAAGCCTGGCAGTCGAACGACGGAGCCACAGCGTGCCCAGTCGCAGATTTGGAGCGCGAGGATCTCGTAGCAGAGATCATTCGGGGAACCTGGTATTCAGTGCGCAGGTTTTGCAGCGGCGAGAAATCGAAATGCGGTTTTCAAACCCGACGAGAAAAGAAGCGGTGGTGAGAGGAACGCGAGGAGCGCGAGCGGACATTCCATCGCTCGGGAAAAGAGTGTTTCGGCGTTTCGCCGCAGCGGGGCGCCCGTCACGTGGCTCTCCTCTCATCCGTTGTCTTCCGCTCTACTTTTTTATCATCGGCGGCCGTGTCTGGTGGCGATCTGCCAGGCTTTGTCACTATAGGGGAGGCTATGGTTCAGGGCCACATGCTCGTGCTGGTAGCTTCGCCCTCGCTTGCGCCTAAAGTTAAAGGGAGCATAAGTGTACGCCTGCATACCAGACTTAAAAAAAAGGATGAAATGAATTTTGGGCTTGGATAAATTAGGATTTTACTAATCACATATTGTTAGTGTGCCAAAAAGAGAACAAGTGCACGAGGGTAGAAAGCCAAGGAACCAGCTTTTCATTGCTAAGATATGAAAAATATAGCGGACCATTTCTTACCTTCTTTCCTCCAAAAGCTCTCCGCCTTTTCACCATGATGCATCTGCGGTGCCCAAGAATGTTAGCCAATCCCAGCTCACGCATTAGGAACGAGTACTGCGTCACTCGGGCGTATGCGCTCGTCATTAACCGATCCGCCAACGAATGTTGAGATTCGTGTTCGTGGACAATTAGTGCCGGGGCGGCACATGTCACTTGCGAATGCGAGGTTCCATGGTGTGCTTAAACAGCGCAGCCCAAGCTTGGAGTGATCCCATCCGGGGCTAAAGCACATCACGTCCACGTGATTTCTCATTTTGCTTTTGAGTTGAGGATTAAAGCGAAGGAGGAAGAAGCTGAATGTAATTTTATGGCCTCTATTTAAACTGCCACCTTTTTAAACATCTGTCTGCTTTATTAACTGTTAGAGCATAGGAAGCTTGCCGCACCTCGCATCAATTGTCCGAACATAAAACGAAGAAGGTTTTGTATTTAGTAAGACATTTGCCAACTAAGTTAACCTAGACATGTTGCTTCAAGTAGTGCAGTCAGAATCGTTGCATTCTGTCGAGACACAGTGTTTGATGACGTTAGGATCAAGTTCGTGTGATTGGATCGTACGTATTTAATTTGAACATCATCAAACACTGAGCACGCCGAATCACCTGTCACAATCAACATTACTAAAAAACAAGATTACATTTCTGAGCCAATGTGTGTTTCGGGCCTCATCGTCGGCTAATAAATAGGCGGAAAAAATATCCTCCAGGCGTGATAGCCCCTAAAGAAGCTTCACTGCGGAGTCACGAAGCGACTCGAAAGCTTACAGTTACACTTGCTTAAAACGTTGTGGGATTCTGGTTTACCCCAAAGTCCTCAGTGAGGCAAATACCCACTCCGTAACTCGTCGGATGCAATAAAGTAGGTTTCGACTTACCTTGCTGATCGCTGTGAGGCAACACCCACTCCGTAGTTCGCTGCTATGGCGGCTACGGCCGGATCCGTCCGTTGACTGCCGTTAGGCTCCGGTGGACGGGAGACCACACCAAACACAGGGATACCGTAGAAACGTGTTTATTGGGCTTACGCCACACGCTTTGCGCCCGTAGGCGGAACAAAAGAGAAATGAGGTTGGCGCTGCCTTAATTGACAGGATCACCAGGAGAAAGGTCCGCGCTGCCGGAACTGGCAGGATCACGGAAAAGGGGGAGCAGTAAAATAACGATGAATACTCCGTCGAGCGTAGCCCCCCCTAACCAAGAGCCCCGGCCACAGGTGGGTGGCCGGCTTATGTAGCCTGCGGGAAATAGACGCGCCCGGGGAGGCCGGTAGAAGGTCTACCGAAAACGGGACGCGTCCATAATCACTCACAAGGGTGTGCCGATGGCGCGTTCACCCAAAAGGGCAAGGGAGAACCGGCCCCTTCGGGGAATTCGGCCTCGTGGTTCCTTGTATCCGGGAGGCCGACGCCATTGGTGACGACGACTCCCACGGCCTGCTTTAAGCTAGGCCTAGATAGGGATAGAGGGAACCCAATGGTTCCCACAATGTATTCCACCATGTTGGTGCTCAAATTCATGGTTCCGAGTTGTTTGAATTTTCATTCTGAACTCCCAGGAAACACTTGGTGACGGTTAAAAGTTCAATAGAAGCCATTTTAGTACTTCCAAAAGCAGTCATATTACTGTTGTGCTTCCTAATAAACATAATCAATGGATTAGACATTAGCGCAAAACGTTATCGATTACAAGTAATTTGATTACTTGTAATGACTGTCGTACAAGTCTGTACGCGAGTAAATTTTTTCGAGGCTCCTACCGGCTCGCGCACACTCTATATACTCCATCTCGATGTAACTTGGCAAAGAGCGAAGGTTATGGCCCCAGTGAGCCGATCAGCGCGTCGGAAGGAGACACGTGACTAATTTTTTTTACGGGACGGGTCAAACTCTGAGGGTGCCAAAAGCGACATCTAGGACACGAAGGAGGAGGTACGGTTAAGAGGGGAGTTCCTCCTTCCCTCTTATCCGACTGTTAGGTTTACGCTTTCGCCCCTGTACCTTCGGTATGGGACTGGTCACGTGCTTCCCCTCCCTCGCTCTGATTGGCTCTAGTTAGGGGCCGTAGCGTCCGCTCTTTGCCGAGT